TCTCCATGTCCTTACTATCCTTGATCATCTCTTGTCTTTTTGATAGTAGCCATTCTAACAGGTGTGAAGTGATTGTTTGATTTGCATTTCCCTGGTTATTAGTGATAATAGACCTGACTAGTGTAAACTTCATGTACTGCAGGGTTTATATGACTCCTTGGAAAATAGACTAAGTCCTTTGCCCATTTTATAATTGAGTTCACTGTGTGTGGGGTCTTTATGTTTGTTTGTTTTTTGCTATTGAGTTTTATGTATTCCTCATACAGATAATATCTAATATGTTCCTCATATTATATATTAATCCCTTATGAGATAGATGGTTTACAGTAGATTTCTTTCATTTGGTTTCACTTAAAACTATCTAAAAAATTAAATTAATAACCATGTAGCATTATATAAACTTTAGTTATGTTGAGAAAGAGTAAAATATTTTCCAATCAATCATCTGCAGGGCAAGTGAGTATATGTGAAGGTGGGTTGCTGGGAGCACTGGGCCTCCCCACCAGCTCTAGTTTATCCTCACGAAGAAGTGAATCCAGAATCCTGGTCTGGCCTGTCTCTCCTCCCCTAGATATGAATCCTGGCCTGGACCATCCAGCAGGCCCTATGACGACACTTCGTAGCTTCTACTGCTGTGATAAGGAATCTAACTGACGTCACTGTGAAACATCTCTTAGAATCAGAATTTTCCTGGAGAATCCAGAGCATGGAGAGCAGATCTTTCTGTAAAATCCTGTTCTAGATTATGGCTAGCCACCAAAGTAGGGAGAGAAAAGGGGGTGGTGACTCTCCCTGTGCTTAATAATACCAGGTACCCCTGATAGCACTTGAGATACTGTCAATTGACAATTCCATGCAACAATAGCTTCCTCTGAGGGAGCCTTCCTTTTTCAGTGATAGCTGACTTGTGATACAGGATTGCATTTTTTTAAAAAAAGATCTATTTATTTATGCATATAAGAGCTGGGGTATAGGCCAGAGGTGTGGGGTGAGAGGATTCACCAGAGACAGAGTGGGGAGCAGAACAGGCAGATTGAAATACACTGCTGAGGTGAGCAGCGGACCAGACAGGAGAGGTCTGCTGCACCATGTGGGTAGCTCCCTGGCTATGGATCGAACTTGTGCTGCAGTGGCTGCAGATAGCGTCATAGGGCTGAGACTTAACCCCTTGTGCCACCAGGGAGACCCATACAGGATTGAATTTGATGTAGGTGTATTATCTTTGGTTATTGAGAGTTAATAAATGACTCATTTATTGTAGACTACTTTTAGCCTTACCATTAAATGTAGAGTGACAGACTGCAAACAGCCTGCCCTTACCTGACTGGTGTAAACTTCATGAACGGTTATTCTGTGGATTTCCTTTGGTTACAAGGGAACCTGGTCATATGCACACCTTGTAAAGTCTGGTCTTTGGCTGTACAAATAATTTTAAAATTATGCAAAACCAAATAATATTCTGTTAAGTTGAGAAATAAGTGAAAACAGGGGAAAAATCCTTTTTCATCTTAGCTACATTCATGTAATAATTAGCCTTTTCCTTTTGCCTTCAAGTTATATTAAAGTGGATATCCCATAGACTGTAATAGTTGTATGGGTGGCAATCAGATATGTTTTCTATTTGACACATAATTGTTGTTACAGAGTGATATACAAATTCAACAGTAAACTTTTGATTTTGAAATACAGTTAAATTTATAGGGAGTTGCAAAGATAACCAATTTTGTCTACTCTTCATCCAGTTTCTCCTCATGATAGATAACATTTTATATGGTACAAGATAACATACACAACTTACATGATAATGTGACCACAGGACATTCGTTAAATCTAAAAAATTCACCAGTGCTAGCACTAACCAGTAGGAATATAATGTTATCAACTAAAATGCAAATTTTACTTGTAGTTCACTGGGTTGTTCACACTAATGCCCTTTTTCTTTTCCAGATTCAAACCAAGATACCATCCTGTGTTTAGTGAACTTTCTTTTGTAATGTTTGTCTAATGGTCCTCCCAGGGGTGTACCACAATTGATTTGACTCTTTCTTTCTAAATATTTAGATTGTTTGTTTTTTTTTTTTCTGTACCACACATAATCCAATCAAGAATATCTTCATGAGAGCAACTTCCTCTTCTGAGATTCTTTCCTTTCAACAGATTGTAATTACACTTCTGAGAGCCCAAGGAGAGGAACATATGTATTTATGGCCTGGATATTATTGGACATTGCCAAATTCTCTTCCAAGATGCCTGAGCTCATTTGTACTGCCATAAGTAATTTTTTAAGAGGAACATATTCATGTGTTCTTGTCAGTATTAGTTACTTTCACTTAAACAGTTGGCTAGTTTAATAGGTGAGAAGGACATGCCAATTTAAAAAAATTATTTATTTGATAACAGGCAAATTTGAATATTCCACCCTATGCGTTTACCAACTATAGTTTATCTTTTTTGAGTTGCCTCACCATATGTATTTATTAGGGTCTGAATATATTTTTTATCAATATGGATACATTTTGTAATAAAGATCTTAGCCTGTCATTTTTCTGCAATTATTTACTTCTAGATCTGATGTTTTGTGTCTTTTCTTTTATAGTTTTTGAAGAGCATAATGCCAGTTTTATGATGTAGAATCCATCACTTTTATTTTCATTACCTCTTTCAAGTTTGTAAAGGTTTTTCCTCAAAAAAATCTACATTTAAAAATGCAACTCTTTCCAATCAACATATAATTTAGTTTCCAATCTTTAACTTTTTGATTCTGCTGGAATACTTTTGGTGTTTGACCGAAATGCCTGACCTGGCAACCTCTTGTTCACCAGCAGCCGATGACCTCGCCACCTCCTCATGGGCAATAAGAGTTGACATTGCACTCCCAGATGTGTGGATGGCACCCCCTCCCATGTATTGCCCAGGCAGGATCCTTGGAGCCAGCCTCATCCCTTCCTCTCCTTTACCACCCACATTGACCCAACCATGCCTCCCTAGGGCTTCTATTTTATGACTCACCCCTCTGCTCTCTGGGAGAGGATTGTGTAGGGCTTCCTCTGCTTGGACACTTTTCCCACCCCCACTTTGCCTTAGTCCTACTATTGGTCATGTGAAGTCAGGAATGTCCTTCCTGTGTGCCACCAAGTGCCCTGTACATCCCTGGATGCTCCTTGAGCTCAATTTTTAAAAAAATGCATTTATTTATGCATACAAGAGCTGGGGTGCAGGTCAGAGATGCAGGGGTAAGAGGATTTACCAAAGAAACAGTGGGGAGCAGAACAGGCAGACTGACTGAAATACATTGCTGAGGGGAGCAGTGGGCAAGTCAGGAGAGGTCTGTTGCGCTGTGTGGGTCACCTCCCTGGCTGGGGATGGAACTCTTGCTGCAGTGGCTGTGGATAGCTTCATAGTGCTGGCGCTTAACCCCTTGCACCACGAGGGAGGCCCCTCTGGAGCCCAATTTTTATGTCCTGCTAACTTGTTTGTGGCCCTTGTCTCTCTCCATCAGACATGTGTCTGGTACATACAGGAATGCAATACAAAGAACCTGACAGACATGTGGAGAACTCTACATAGTCACTGCAAATAAACATCACCAGGTCATATTAGTTAGGAGGAGAAAATCAAATTGTAGAACATTCATTTCAAGGAATGTTTATTGAACTTATCCACTTACTAGTCTCAGAACTGTCTTGATGAAATATTAATTAAAATACCAAGGAATTGGGACTAAATGAAGTACCTAAAAATAGTGTAATGAAAAACACTGTAAATTATGGCACAGGCACTAAGTGAAAGAACTGACAGTCATTAAAAATGATTTTGGTGGACCTCCCCCGGCGGTGCAGCGGTTGAGCACTGGGTTGCAAAGCTGCCCGCAGCCTCTGCAGCACGGGTTCAATCCCCGGCCACCGGCAAAGGTCCCACATGGTGTGACAGACCTCTCCTGCCGCGCCCGCTGCTCCCCTCAGCAGTGTATTTCTTCGTCAGTCTGCTTGTTCTTTTCCCTGCTCTGGCTCTGGTGAATTCTCTCACCCTCCCACGCTTCTGACTATACCCAGATTTATTTATGGAAAATAAATCTTTTAAAAAAAATGATTTTGGTCAGTGAATCTATATATATGGTAATATAAGATTTTAAACTATGAATGTGTATATTATATATAATTAACATGAAATTAAAATAAAAATGTACATATGTGTATATATTTGTGTACATATACATGTCTACACATAAATGTATCATTTAAAAAATTGCATGTGACCAAAGGGGGCATCGTATACTTATGGTTCACAGGACTCATTTCTGAATAGTGGAACTTGTGTTTGTATTTTCTAAATTTTGGCAATATGTTGTTTTTAGAAACAAATTTATGATTTATAATCACAAAATTAATTATGGTATAAGGTATGTATAGAGTAAATATAGGAAATTTCCTAAACTTATTTTATACTTCTATGCAATAAGAATATCCTAACTATATAAACACATCTGCCTATATATCTATATAATATGTAACATATCTATGAAACAGATATGTTATAGAATAAAAAGAAAAATCATCACCTTACATTATTGTATTCTAGCCTTCTAGAGTCAAGTTAGAAGTGTTTAGTCTACACAACCATGAACCTCTTTGCTGGCCCCTGAGGTATCAGAAGTTACAGAAGAATGTGCTAGAATTTGATTTCCCCCTAACTGAGGGAGAGACTGGGCTCCTCTTCCTACCCCCACTGGGCTGGGAGGGGATAGCAGAGCCCTGGTGAAGTCAGCTGACCCAGGCGTGGCATGCGGGGAGATGTCTGCATTTTGGGCTGCAGAATCATCTCAAATCTTGTGTAAATATACTCAAGGTGAGCTATATGGACTTTCTTTTATTGGAGGTAACACAATAACAACACAGAGGTACAGGTTCATACTTCTTCAGTGAGTGTTACCACACCACACCCACCCTCTGAGCTCCAGGAAGCTTGGAACTTCTGACACAATCTCTTTTGTTTTGGGGCAGGCAAGATGGGGCCTCTTGACATCACCCTGGACGCAGTGAACTGTACAGCTTTTAGCATCCAGTGGAAAATGCCCAGGCATCTGGGGAGTCCCATCTTGGGGTTCACTGTGAGTAGTTGGGCATGGGGATTCTGTAGTGGGTATGTTGGGGTGACTGGTGTCCTTCCCATCTTTGCTCCTTCCCTATATGCCCCCTTATAACAGCTCTTCTATGTAAATAACTGACCCCTTCTCTTTCTGTAACACCAGCGGGAATGTTTGCCTTTTAAGGGTGTTTCTTGTGCCTTGAAAATCCATTAGGATCTGCCCATTCCTTACTCTGTTCAGGGATGGAGAAATACAAACTGAGTAGAAGACATGGGTCCTGTTATTCAGTTGCCCAACAGTCAAACTTGGAGACTAAAGCAGAAACCTGGGAGATAATGGGGATTCACTTTGGAATTTTGTCAATGAGCACAAAATATGTCAAATTTGAATTAAAATGAAAATTGAATTAAAGGGGTGGACAAAGTGGAGGAGGAGACAGAGAATGCATTCCTACCTATCAGAGGTTACAAATCAGACTGATTTCAGCTCACCAAAATGTTTGCTTTGAACAGTTTTAAAAAATGAGTCAACTTTTAGGACTCAGGAGATTTCAGACAAATATTTGGAATTCTGTTATCACTGGGACTGTCCAGAGAGCTGGTCACACTCCTTCTGCTTCACATTCCTTTGGGGCACCAGGTACACTGGAGCTGAGCTGTCCCCTTTAGATGGGCTGTCAAACCCCTCCCTCTCCCCCATAAAACTGTAGACTCACCACTCCTTACTGTCTTCCTTTTATCAAGGAAGAGAAGCCATTTATCATGGCCCTTGTCCTGCTGTCTTCTTAAAGAAGAGGAATGCATTTCTGGACTTAGGTTGTATCAAAAGCGGGAAAATGAAAGATTACCTTAGAGAACATGGCTTGGGAAGAAATAATAGGAGCTGGGTCCAGTCTCCCCTACCCCATCTCAACCATACACATCTTCCTGCTGGCCTCTGCAGGCTGCTGCTAGGTATGTTTGATGTTGCCATGGGACTCGTGTGTATGTGCTGAGGCAAGCATCTCAGAACCCACACAGGTTGTGTGTGCCATCAAAACTAAGGGCCTTGGATCTGGAAGGAGCAGTCCTGGCCCTGCTCTCACCCCATGTGCCTGCCTCTTTTTCAGGTTTTTTACTCTGAGGTCAATGGAGACAACTCCCTGCAGGAGCAGTCCCATAGTGTGCGGCTCAGCCAGGATGCCCTGGCCACCGTGAGTATTGCCATGCTCGCAGCCCCCCTCAAAAGCACACAGGTGCTTGGCATTTCGGCCATATTTGGAAGGATTTCTAATGTGGTGTGTGTTGCTGTATGTGTATCATAATCACTAATGTGTGTGTAGTCCTTTGAGATTTATGAAGGTCTGTCCTGTGCATTACCTCATCACACGCACCTATAGCTCCAGGGTGGTGGCCACAAGCAGCGGCCCAGTGCCAGGCCCCCACACTGACCTCAACCCACCATTTATCACACAGAAGCAGTCACCTTTTCTTCAGGAAGCTTAATCCTGATTTTTTTTTAATCTTAGTAAAGCTTTATAAATAAATATGACACATTTATCTCTTCCCAATTGCCCGGAGACACAAAACAGTAAAAAATAATGTAACTTGAAATGTATATTCAGATGGTCCAACTTCTTATTTTTCTGCTCAAGCCCAGCACCCTGGCCTTCCACAAACCAATTGCTGGCTCTCCATTTATTTCTTTTCTGTTTCCTGTCAAGGTCTTTCTGGGTGAGTTTTTCTGCCTTAGGCATGTTCTGTTTCTTTTCTTTCATTTTCCTCCTCCCTACTCATTCTACTAAAATTATCCTGCAGGCTAGAGCCTTTGAATTGCTCTACCAGGAGTTAGCAACAGTGCCCAGAATTCTGCTGTGGTGGTGGCAGCGGTGCTGGTGGTGGTAATGTTTGTAACTCCTGTTTAATAAGTGTCTGCCAGCACAGTGCATAGTTTGAAGCCTACTTGGCATCTGTGATAAGTAGCCATCACTGAGTGAGCATCTGTTACCTGCCAGGCACTATCCCTCAAGCTTTCTTTCTTTTTTTTTTTTTTTAATTTAATCTTCACAACTATCCTGTGACCTTATTTTACTGACAAGGATGCTGAGATTCAGAGAGATAAAGTAAATTTCTCTAAATAACATATTAGCAAGGAACAGGGTGGGCCATAAACCTAGGACAGACTGACATCTGGGCCCTGGTCTGTTTGTTTTCACAAAATCCTTCATGATTCTAGAAGAAGAGATGCACATTTTCATCTTACATTTTGCATGACATTCTTTCCATTTTGGCTTCGGAAGCAGTCTTCATTTACCTCAGAACTGTCAGGATCATCCATGCGTTCACTGTCTCCTAAAAGGGCAAGATTGAGTTGACTCTGTCTAGGAAAACAGTTGAGATCTGTCTCCCCTCAACAACAGAGAATTCCTGATAAGCCTGGGGGCCCCACCAAGGGGCTGGCTGTGTCTCCAGATGCCCAGCCCATTGTCCTGTGGTGAGTGTGACTCACTGCTTTGCCCAGAACAGAGTCCAGGCTGAGCAGACACAGTGCAGTGACAGGGGTGTCACCAGTGCTGGTGTCCGGGAGTCTGGACATTGCTTCTGAAATTGAGATCCTGTCCAACCACAAGAGCCTGGCCTGGTTGCCTGGGAAGGCCACTGAAGTACAAACAGTGGGCCTGGAGGGAGGCGGGCACACTCCAGACCACCTCTCTTCACTTACAAGGTAGGTGATTTTGGTCAAAGTTACTTCGCCTGTTTAAGTTTCATCTTTGTCCCATGAAAGGGGCATCATAATTGTACTGTTATGACTGGCAAATACAATTATTTATGTAAAATCCCTTGGTAAAATATCAAGAAATCCTGGCTATGTTAATGTCATTCCTGATAATTGATTTATTCTCTCTGTTCATTATATGTGGGCATTGGAATTTGCGATCAATTATAGCACTGCTCACCTTGCTGATTTCAACAAGCTTTCCTGTGGCTACTGTTTGTCCAGCCTAAAAGAAAATAGTCCTTTTGCTTGGGCAGCTTTCAGTCTTGTTGAGAAAACCACATTGACACTGATGAAACAATCAGAGAACATAAGCCCAGATCTCATCAACAGACAACAGATAGACTGAAGTTTTAAGGAGGACAAGATTAGTGTAGGAACAAATGGTTAAAAGATAAAACTAGACTCAGAACTGAATTAGGGATAGTTTCTGGAAAGGCAGAGAAGAAAGAAGGTGGGGCATTTGAATGGAAGAGAATGGTTTATGCCAAAGGAATAATCCTGGAGGTGGTAGGAGTGGTGGGGATGGTGGGGATGGTGGGGTGGGTGGCTGGTGGTGGTGGCTGGTGGTGGAGCAGAGGAGGTATAGAACACATAGCCAGCAAGAGGAGGTGTGGGGAGAGTCTGGAATAGCCTTAGACTCTGGTTTCAGACAATTTACATTCAGAGAGTAACGATATCAAAGCTAATGTATCAGTGGTTCTCAAACTCCCTGCTAGGGTGCTCCAGGGCTCTGAAGCAAACTCACAGGGGGTTGTGGAAGATTTGAACTTCTCAAGGGAAATAACATGTGTGTGAAATACTACTACTAAGTTGTGTGTATGGAACATTAGGCATTTCTTTTGGTCTAGAGGTAGTGTAAAATATTGTAAGACACTGAGGGGGCACATCAGAGAAAGTGTGGGAGTCTCTGCCACATATCCTATGGCATCAGGATGGCGTGAGCATTAAACAAGGTCATGGTCCCAAGGTCGTGCCCGCATGATGTCTGATGCGAGATGAGAACAGAGTGGGTGGCCACGGGATCCACACCGTGAGGATGGGTGCTGTTGCCCTGGCGGTGCGCGGGCTCAGCGGCTGCTCCATGGCTTCCTCTTCGTCCTGCAAGTTTTCCTTTCTTTTTCATGTTGTTTTTTTCTTCCTTTTCAGGGACAATCTCATAACCAGGTGATTTTGGTAAGTATGTTTTGGAAAAATAAAACTCTTGCTCCAACCCAGGATTCAGAGGGTGTCTTTTTAGAGAAATGCCGACTTTCTTGCATGTTCCTCTTACTGACTCAGGCCCACTGAAGACTCAGCTCCAGTGTGAGCAAGGGCGGCGCAGCGCAGCGCACCAGGGCGATTTTTAATCGTTAGCAAGAAGCTGCTTGTATGTGCTGCTTTATCTCACACGACAAGGTTAAAGGAACATTTTTAAAGGGTGAAGTAATTGAAGCTCTGTTCCAAGACCAGGTGAAAAAGATGGAAAAGAAGAACAAATATTTAGGGCCTCCCCGGTGGCGCAGCAGTTGAGCGCTGGGTTGCGAAGCTGCCCGCAGCCTCTGCGGCGCTGGTTCGATCCCCGGCTGCTCCCCAGCCACCAGAGGAGGGTCCCGCATGGCGCGCAGACCTCTCCTGCCACCCGCTGCTCCCCTCAGCAGTGTACTTCGGTCCTTCTGCCCGCTCTGCTCCCCGCTCTGGCTCTGGTGAATTCTCTCACCCTCCTGCGCTTCTGACTGTACCCAGTGCATGTATAAACAAAACAAACAAACAAACAAACAAATAAATAAAAACATGCCTCTATAAAATAAATAAATAAATAAATTAAATTAAAAAAAAAAAGAACAAATATTTAAATGAGATCTCACATGGCAGCACGGGGAGTCCCCACCACGCACTTTTCTGTCTCCTTTGTTATTTTAACCATTTGAGACAGAACCAGCTCACCTAAAACTGCTTGGTTGATTTTCTGGATTGAATGTCAAACAAAGGCTTAAGTTCATAAATGGTTAGTTTGACTGCAAAGATGAAATAACAAAAAAAGAAAAACAAACTTGCCTGATTATATGGAATTTTGATGCATTCTTTGATAACCTGGTTTGGTTACCATTGAGCACCTTTTTCTTAAAAATGCAACATACAGTTTTTATTCTGGAAAAATAAATAGTAAGATAAATCAGGGAAATTTGGTAAATTTTTAAGAGCTAGATAAGGATGTATAAATGGGTGGCCTCTGTACTTTTTGATTGTGCATATCATCAGTTAAAAATACTTGAGCATGTACCAATATATGTATATTTATGTAGCTATAAATTATACATAAGTTACTCTACTAATATATTATGTACATTATAAAATCTTACAGAATTTTAAAGAAAATGATAAAACAGAAACAGAAAGTTTTAATTTTTTCTTCTGATATCTAAGTAGATTGCCTTGCTCACCCTGGGAGATTTCCCACCACCCGTCTTTGGAGCTCACTGGTCAGGTTGACCTAGAATAGTGATTCTATTTGAGTGTTAACCAAGGCTAGAGAGATAAAACTAAGTCAGCAATCCTGAGACTTACATCTAGTTCCAGCTCTGATGCCAAAGCAAGGGTCACTTTGGACAAGGCCACTGAGCCGCCCTGAATGTCTCTTTGATTGTAAAATGAAGGGGTTGGCTGATAACAATTCCCAACTATGGGGTTCCTTTGCTCCATATGGGATATATGGAAATATTTTTGTAATAAATAAGCTTCAGGAATTCTGACTCTTCATCAATATGAAGTATAGAACCATGCAAGGAAGATTTGTCCAAAGCCAGTGCTGCCCCTCCTCTGAAACCTTGAAAGATACATGCTTATTTTCTGTGACAACTAAAAGGAATAGAAATTCAGTTGCTTCCTCTACTCTGGCCTGTACAACCTTCCTCAGGGCCATTGGAAGAAGAATGCTTGGAAGATGATACTTTTCAATTTCTCCAGTTGCCTTTCATTTGATGATACTGGGTATTGCTAAGACAGCTATGGTCCAACCTTGACTTGTAGCGTCAATTGTGAAATTGAATACAAGGTTACTAGCTACCAGTTAAGGTTACTTTAGAAGAAGCATAGGATTTGGTGTTGAAAATTTGGCTGGAGAAGTTAAGATATACCCCCCAAGACCACACAGAAAGTTGCCCCCACAACCTAGGTCTCCAGGCTCCTTGTCCAATGCTCTACCCATTTCATGTCTCTTCTGATATGGTGTTCACTGATGCCTTCATGGTGTAGTAGTTGCATATCTGGACTAGTAAACAGGGCAGTATCCCACTTCATTTCTGGAAATAAATGATCTGGATTTCCAGCAGTAGGAGAAAGTAAGAGTGGAAGAAGTTAAGATAAGCTCTGACATCAAGATAAGAGATACAAGTTAGGAACTGTTCAGTATGGATTCATCACTGCAAAGTGGACAGGTCTCCACTACAGAATAGTCCCATTTTGGGGAGGAGTTCCCTTTTGCATTGCTATCTACGTGGTTTTTGTACAATAGATCATGTATCAATTAGGATAAAAGTCTAGAAGTCCCTCAACTCCAAAATGAGTGATTCTAGCAAGATGTGCATTCAGGGTCTTTCCATCTCTTTGTCCTTCCAAGCCCCCTGACCCTCCTCCCCATGGTCCAAACTGTGGTCTTACTACCACATCCACATTCTAGCCAATAGATGAGGAAAAGCGAAAGGGGAACATCTCTCTCCTTTTAAGGGATAACTTAGGAATTGTCCTCAGCATTTTCACTGACATCCTATTGTACAAAATTTAGTCACATGACCACACTTAACTGTAGGGAAAACTGAGAAATGTAGTATTTTAGTGTCCATGGCTCAACTAAATTCTAGGGTTTTATGATAAGAAAAGAGAGAATGGATGCTAAGGGACAGTGAATCATCTCTGACACAGATTGTGAATGAAGAGAATGGGAGTGTCGCAGTGGACGTGGAAAAGGCAGTTGGGCATCTAAAGAAAAGCTGCAAGCTTGACAGTCGATGTGCTATGTCTAGGAATCAGGCAATTCAAAGCGTATTAAGGTTTGTGGTACAATATGTTTTGTGAAAGAAACCAGATTCATTGTTGCCCCCACTGGAAATTACATAAACTCTCTGGGTCTAGTCTCATTGTCTGTAAAAAGGGGATGATGTGATTCACCTCTTAGGGTTGTTGTGAGGATTAAATGTAGCAATGGTGTGCTAAGATTTTATCAATTCCAAAGTACTGTAAAAATAAAAACTATTAATATTCTAATCGTAAGGTGAGTTTGTTGCGTCTGGCAGTCAGTGAAGGAGACAGGAGCATAGCTCACCTAGCTTAAAGGTGCTTGGGCTCTGGGCTCAGTGAACTTTGGACTCAGTGAACTTACATGAACCTTGCTTCTCTCTTCTGTAGGTGTAAGTTATTCAATCAGATAATGGCCACCAGCAATGTTGAGAAAAGCCCAGGAGGCTTCTTTTAGAAAAGGTTTTGCATTTCAGAAAGAGCTAGGCAAACACAAAGTAGGGTTATTTTGCAATCAAATACAAACTTTGCCAAAAAAGGAAAGGCAGGCGTGAGATTCTTTATTCATTCTGGCTTCTACTCCTCCAAGAAAGCAATTTCTCTCATTCTGTATTTCACCATCTTGTATAAAAATATAGACCAAGAGAGATAAATGTTTGACTTGTTTTCAAACTTCTACAAGGCAACAAAACAACAAACAAATGATATTTTACTTCAATAAGAGTATATTCAGCATCTTATCTCATTGGATGCAACACTGATGTGGTGGTTATGGATATTTAAGGACAGAAATACAAAGACTTGTGGAATTATTACATCATGTTAGGGCAGAGAATGCAAGGGTTATCACAAGTCACAATATAACTAGGGATTCCATCTGGGAGGAATAATTTCAGAAAGGATGATTAAATCCTTGATTCCAGTGTTCCCAACTGCTCATTCTCTTGACCCTCAATCCTTCATGACTTCAATCCTTTATGGCATGTCACCAGCTTGTTAGCATGGGAAAAGACTGGAAACAGTAGATTTCTGGAAGGGTAACCCTCTACTTCTCAGAATATATCTGAATTACAGGTAGCATCAGTCTTTCATATCTAATAAAAAGATTTTTTTTAAAATCTACATAAGAAACTTCTACAAATCTGTCTTGGTTTTCAGTGATCATTTTTAATTTCATATATGTCAGTTTTCATGTTTACAGATGAAAGAGTAATAATCTAGTCTTCAGTATTTACGATAAATATTTTTGTATGCTTATGTACCCACCTTTTAGGACTGAAGCAAGAATTAAATCAGTCGATGTATGTAAAGTTTCCTTATTCCTGGAATAGAGAAAACATACAAGAAATGGTAACTAGTGGTAGCTGTATTAGGTATTGGTTCATAGTTGAGATCTATAATGATCTATAAAACCACATAACCATCCCTATACTTCATATATTATAATGACTTCCTAGAAGAAACGGACTCTGAAGCAGCCATCTCTGAGACCAGTGAGTTGGTTTGAGAGGCTGTTTCTGCTTCCTTGGAAAATCCTGTAAGTGGCAGGTGGGCAAGGAGTGAGAACCTGAGTCTCATATCCACCTGCTACCTCCAGACTTTTAACCACTCAACTTGACATGAAACCTGGGGACAAGTGGTGAACGAGGATGCATGGATGAAAACAAAGACCCCTGATGTAGCTCCATGTAGAATGAGTGGGACTGGGCAGGAGGAAAGACAGACACCTGGAAAAATGCAGGGATTTAGAGATATGGAGGGAAAAAGCAGGTCCGAAAGGTATATGGAGGTGGTTGGAGGTTGGTGGGTGAAAAGAAGTCAGCCTGGCTCTTACTAATTCCAGGGTCTGGGCCAGAGGGACTGCTGTTATTGTCTAAAATAGAGGGATCAGCAGTAAAAATTGCTTCTTGATCAGTTTATATTGGACATCGTAGTTTGATTTCTTTCTTTCATTCACTAGTTCATTTATTCATTCATCAAAACGCATTGTTTGAGCCTTTGCTATATGTCTGCTAGTACTATGCTAAGCTTTGAGATGCTAGAGGAATAAGAACTTGCTCCCCACCCTCAAGTAGGAGGGGGGAAGGTGACAAATAAACAATTACAGTAGAAGGTGAGTGGTGCTAAGATTGAGGTACACAAGGACACCAGGGAGGCACAGAGGAGGGGTACCTAACCAGACTGGAGGCTGGGGGTCAGAGAAATGAGGTAATGTCTCAGTTGAACTGAGTCATGAAGGATGAGCAGGGGTGAGCCAGGCAAGAGTGGGGAGAGAAGGGCATTTCATATAGAGGGAGCAGCAGGTTCAAAGGCCCAGAGACAAGAAATTGAACAGCAAAAATGTGAGCCCTGCCAAGTTCGTAAGTATGAGTAGAATACAGAGTACAAGGGGTGGAGGTGGCACGAGATGATGCTAATGGTATAAACGGGAACAAATATGCTCTTTGGAAGGGAGTTTTAAGTGGAAAGTGACATGAGCAGATTTGGGGCCGAAGATGACTCTAGCAGTGTGTGGTCTAAATTAGAGGTGCTGGCATGTCCATCAGTATTTTTTTTTTTTTTGAATCTTCAGGTGATTGTTGAATTCTTTTAAAAATTGTGTTGATCAGTTGATGAATTCTTCCTGGCAATAATGATTGTTTAATCATCTGCAGAGGACATTGTGAAGAAATTCACAGATTCCTACTCTCATGTGGTTTATAGTTCCACGGGAGAGAGAGCAGTATTTTGTAATATATGTAAGTGCTAAGTTAGTGGCACATCAGTTGGGAGTGGGAGATCAGTTCCAGGTGGTCAGGGAAGGTGTCAGGGGAAGACTTAGCCTTTGGAGAAGTGGGAGAAACTAGGAAAGCAGAGAAGACAAGAGTTTCCACATACCCAAGGCAATCATTGTAACCTGTTTCTTGAGCACATCCTCTGTGCCAGCTGCTCACACACATTATCCCAGACACTACAACCATGCAAAAGAGTTATAAGCCATCCCCATTTTTCAGGGAAGAACCGAGATTCAGAAATTTAGCATGAACACTATGACTAACAATAAGAATCAGGTTCCAGCCCCAGATTGGTTGATGCCACTACAAGATGTTGCCACTTCTCACCAATGGGACCAAGGTCCTACTCACTATGTAGCACTGAAGCCTCCAAGGACAAGCCCTTTTGCCAAAGCCCAAGGTGGAATGAATCTTCTTCAGCTGGGGCTTTCTGGACAGGACCGTTTGTGCAGAGGAAAGCCACACACAGCCATCTTCAGTCCTTGTGGTTCTCCATGTGAGTCCCTGGGCCAGCAACATATCACTCAGAAATTTGTTAGAAACAGATTCTCTGCCTTTTCCCAAATTTACTACATTAGAAACCTTGGGGGCCAAGTCCAGCTGTTAAATTTAAGAAGCTATCCTAGGGGCCTCCCCGGTGGTGCAGCGGTTCAGCGCTGGGTTGTGAAGCTGCCCGCGGCCTCTGCGCCGCCGGTTCAATCCCCGGCTGCTCCCCGGCCACCGGAGGAGGGTCCCACATGGCGCGCAGACCTCTCCTGCCGCCCGCTGCTCCCCTCAGCAGTGTACTTCGGTCCCTCTGCCTGCTCTGCTCCCTGCTCTGGCTCTGGTGAATTCTCTCACCCTCCCGTGCTTCTGACTGTACCCAGTGCATGTATAAACAAAACAAACAAACAAACAAATAAATAAAAACATGCCTCTATAAAAAATAAAAATAAAAATGTTTAAAAAAAAAAGATTAAAAAAAAAAAAAAAAAAAAAAAGAAGCTATCCTAACAATTCTATGATTCAGCTAAAAATTTGAGGATCAGATTTTGAGTCCTTTATGGGTAGACATCAAAACCTCAGTTTGCTGTTGTAGCTGGTCCCTGAGCATCTGTGATCTGCAAATATTAATAGAAAGAAAGAACTCTGGGCTTCTGGCCCAAGTAACACTATGAAACACTTGGATGTTAAGGGCAGCATTTGATGATAGGGTGATAGGGTGAATGAACCCAGTCCCCTGCCAATAATGCATAAAGTTTGGGGAAACATTTCATGGTGATTTTCTTTTTGCAAATTGTAAAACTTGGCCGATTGTAGTGAAAGCAAAACAATGTCTGTCCCAAGCAATTTTACAGGGACCTCATAATGTTACCTTCATGCAAATTGTCTGGTTGCCCCCCAAAGAACTTTTGATTACTGATGCCTTTGCTATTTGGGGATTGACAGGAGGAAGTGATTGGAGACTTGAAACCAGGCACTGAATATCAAGTGAGCGTAGCAGCTTACGGCAAGACCGGCAAAAGGCGGCTCAGCTTTCCTCAGCACTTTATCACTTTGCCCCAAGGTAAATTTGGGTTTAACTCATTTATAATAGGAAAGTGACAGGTTCTAGTCATTCTTTCTTTTGTTATATATCAGTGAGGACCTACAATGTGCCAGGCACTGTGCTAGGCTCTGGGGCTCTGGGAACTAAGTGGTGAACAAAACAGGCACAGTCCCTGCCCTTTCAGAGCTTCAGGAAGGCAGGCAAGACATAATCTAATTAATATGGAGCCAAAGATTGTGTTGGGTGCTAGCTACAGTGCTATAAGAAATGTACAAAGATTGAGGTAGGTGTGATGTAAAAATTTCCTGAGGAAGTGACTATTAAGTGGAGAGCTGATGGGAAATGGGGTCTAAGAAGGTAAGGAAGGGGAATAGGAGAAGAGATTATGGACAAGGGGAATCCAACAAAAGCTTACTAAGGTAGCTCCATGCTGGATACTCTGGGCAAAGGTGGTCAAGCAGGTCACCCCTCATAAGGAGCTCACTATAGAGGGATAAGCAAATGATCATCAGGTAGCTCTAGTTTGTGGGAAACCTGTGCAAGGGGCCTGGAGCACTCAGGAGGGAGCACTTCCTCCATCCCAGGGCTCAGGGACAGTTTCAGAAAGAATTATATTTGGTGTGAATTTTGCAAACTGCTTAGCATTTTGCTAGGAAGGAAAGACATGAAAATGTTTCCAGTAGGAGCCATAGTATAAACAGGCTGGGAGATGTGAATGTCTGGATATGAAAGTAGTCACAGCAGGTACCTTGAGGTGATGGGTTTATGGTGATCCCTACATCTTCACACCTGAGAGCGTAGCCCACACGTCCTCCCTTTGGTGTGTGTACTGATGATCGGGGGAACACACACACAAGAATAGAAAGTGGCATTTACTCTTCCCTGTTGGTAAATATCAATTCCAACATGCAAACAGTGATGAAAAGTTGTTAGGGAGTATGAGGATGATTATAGATTTTAAATGGTACACAACATTATGGGTTCTTGGGTCAATGATGTGGATGTTACTCAGCTGCATTCCCAGCCAAGGCTGCTGAGAGGAGAGGACAGATCAGCTCTCGTCAACTCAGACCTCCTATGATGAATCCAGTTGGGGTTTATTTGGTTTGGATTTTGAGGTTGTTCTCAACAGAGCTGTTTAGCTTGTAGGAAACTCATTTGTTTTGTCGTTTTTTTAGTTTTCATATTAAACCTCTTCAGCAATAAAAACCGCCAGTCAACTCCAGTTGTGTTTACTCTCCCATCTAGATTCTTGCCTGCCTCCAACAGCACCCCAGCAGCCCCACGTCACTGTGGTTTCTGAGTCTGAGGTGGCCCTGTCTTGGAAACCCGGAGAGAGTGAAGGAAGCTCCCCTATTCAGTATTATTCTGTGGAATTCATCAGGTAAGATTGGGTGTCACATTTAAAAGCCAAATGTGTGACCCTCGAGTATTCCAAGCATGGGGCATGCCCAGAGGGAGCTCGCTATCGTGCATGTGTATTTAAGAGAGGACAAGAGTGTTGAGACCTGCATTTATACACTGTCCTCAGACTGGTATCTGTCTCCATTACACTGGGGTGATGGGTCATCTGGTAAATCTGTCCCCACGTGCCTACCTCTTCCCCAATCTCCCTCCATAGTCGGACTGTCTTATTCTCTGAAACTTCTTGAGGTACCATTGCCAACATGTCTGCTGCATTTCAAGTTTGAAACTTGCCTCTGTTGCTTTGAAACATTGTGTTTGAAGTAAATATTTGATGGTGACCTTTCTCAAGGGAGGGGGATTTTAAAAAAAGCCTTTAAAAGCAAGTACAATTCATTGTTTCCTTCACATCCGTATTGCTGTGGGGCAAATTTCTTGGTTTGGTTTCAGCCTTTTTGTCTCATCTACCTCGCTGGTTCTTGTATTCAGCTTATCAGAGGGTAGAAGAGTGGTTAGGAGTTCTTTTAAGAATTTACAAATGAAAACACATGATTCTCAATGCCACTACATAATTTTAAGCAAAAAAAACATAATAATAATTATAATTCTTTTGCTGTAGCTCAAGTTGCAGTTGAATTTTGAATTGAAGCACCTTGCTCACAAAAACAATGAATGTTTGTGGAGTGGATGCGCTCTACATTACAGGAGATGGGGTGTCTGAGGCCTGCCACTTCATGCATTCATAAAAAGGCTAGCTCAGCATGTCATTCCTGAGGCTCTCTGAAGACAGGACAAAAGATTCTGCCAAGGTTTGATGAGCCATCTCTGCCTCTGCTTCCTGACTTGCCAGTGGATTCTTTGGTAGTGAAAATAGACATTTGTGTTCAGAGAAGTACTGCACTAAGACTCCTTAATACTCAAATACAGAGGTTGTTTTGAGCAGGACTTGAATTGTAAGTGGCAAAAGCTTGAAAGAAGATGAGGCAGTGATGTATTAATTCCTTTGACTATAAACTCTGGTGGCAAGTTCAAGGAGGACTAGATCTATGTCTCAAGAGCTGTCTGAATCCTTCCTAACTCTACTCTGGCAAGATGGCCAGCAAGCCTTCAAGACTTGTATGTAGTCTATTAACATGGCTTCCTCCTGGACAAAAGTGGCTGTATCTCAATGGTCCCGGCAGAGTCTCACTCTTCACTCTAATTGTCCAGGCTAGAGTCCCTTTCCATTCTCTGACCAAATCACATGGTCTGGGAGGAGAATACACAATTAATCCAGCAATTCTTTAATGGAGAGGTGACACAAGGTCCCAGAGGCCTCGGCTACAATGACTACAGTGTCCTCATCTGTAAAACATGGGCGATAGTTCCTCCTAACTTCAAAGTGTGTGGGTGGGAAGGATCATCTAGACTCAAAGTACATGAATTGGAAGCTCAAGAGTGTTAATTCCTCACAAGAAAATGGTGCAATTAATGGAAAAGGAAGAAGTAGGTGTGGGGGTAAAAATTAAGTGCCCACTGCTAAGTTCCATATCAGAATCTTTCTGCCACCGGATAGATTTGGTAGGTAAACCTTCGAGGGTGCCTGACATAGAAAAATCCTGGTTCTAATAATAGTTAAAAGTGCACCACTAGAAGGTCCTAAAACTAAAGCATTTTCATCTATAAAGCAAGGAGTGAAATTTAATATTTTAATTTTTCTTGTCTCACATCAGCAAAGCAAAATATGATACTTTAAAAAATTTTAGAAACTGCAAAGTTTTTCATAGCAGCCTATCCCTCAGCAAAGATGATCATTGTTTATTATTAATTTTGGGTTAAAGCATTTGGTTTTTGAATTGTTTTAAGTCTGACAATTGGTAAAAGGTAGAAATTGCAGTTTCTTATCCTGTGTGTATGACTGAAAGCAAAAGATCAAGAGTTTCATGGGATTTAGAAGCAGAATGACTGGGAGAGGTGAACATGTGCAGGTCTCTTACCCTCCTGAAGCCTCAAAAGCTCTCACAGTTACAGAGTCATGGAACTTGCTTATAGACAAAGGGGGTTTCTATAGAGGCTTCATTCCATGAGATTCTTCTGAAGTGTAGAATTTCTCTCAAATTTGCCTATCAGAAATACAGGACCCATTCACCCACTGGCTTCTGTCCTTTGTTGTTTGGTGGTTTCCTCCAAGGGCATAAATTCTTACACTTCCAGGCTCTGCTGGCATATGAATAAAGGGGCGGGTTCTGGGATAGAGGGGGGTGACATGAACACAGCATGTCACAGTGCTTGAGTTTGGATGCTGGCCATACGAGGCAAGTCTGAATTCACATGAAACTCTCCACATCACAGCTGCTTCTGAAATCAGAACTGGGACAAGGAGAGGTGACACAAGGTCCCAGAGGCCTCAGCTACAATGACTACAGTGTCCTCATCTGTAAAACATGGGCGATAGTTCCTCCTAACTTCAAAGTGTGTGGGTGGGAGGATCAAGTAGAAATCACTTGAAAAAGAGCTTTGTAGGCATAAAAAAGTATAAGGTATATATGGGTGTTATGTTCCTACATTTATATTATTAATTATAATTCCTCTCCAACAAAAATTTAAACATTCAGAACTGGCCCTTAGACTTCACTCTTAGCTGAAATTCTTATATATAAATATTTTCAAATTATACACCAACCTAACAAATTGTTAACTATTTTTTTATCTGTTTATCTTGACAATACACCTTGGAAAACTAGTTTCAAAATGAGACCTCTTAATTCTTAATCACTTCTTAGTTTTTTGGTTAAGATCAAGTGTAGTATCTGTTCTTATTGAGAACCCTTAGACAGCTCAGAGTTCCAGAACATGGTAGGATGAAGGACGCCAGCCTGTACTAGCAATTCTGCCTCTGCGATCTCTTTCAGTTCATGTAATTTTGATCAAATTGTTTTATTTCAGAACCTCCATTTCCTCATCTCTACCATCAAATTGGTGTGACCCTCACTGTAAACTTGATGCTCATGGTCTTCATAAAGTATTTATACAGAGTAGACATTCAGTGTGTTTTTATTTCTTTTTCCCCTTTTTACAAAGAAAGTGGTTGCAACTCAATTGTTTTAGTTGCTTTGTCCTGATAAAATAATTGCTGGGGGACAGGATTAAGACTTCTGGCACAGCACCCTTTCTATGAAGCCCCACAGTGCTTTCCTGTCTGTAATCTACCTTTAGAGATGGAAGCATGAACTCGGCCTGTCCAGAGTCCAGTTGGCTGAGCAAATGGGAAGCCTCACCTCAGGCTGCTGTTTGCTGACTTTCCAGAAAGAAAGATTTCACAGCTTGCTATGGCATTTAATGTCTGGCTGCAAAAAAATCCCCTATTCATTGGTAAACATCTCAGAGTATATCCTATTATAGGGTATATCTGAGGATATGTGCTGAGAGAGAGCTGTCCTGGGCTCTAAATCATAAGCTACTATTAGTGTGGAAGGCTTTGGGGACTGTCAGTTATTCTACTTTCCTCAGAGAGGTCTGTTTAATGTTCAGCATTGAATTCCAGACTCCTGTGCATGGAAACACCTATCACAAGCACTCTGGGTGAGCCTTTCTCAGGGCAGGGTAGGAAGTTGTAGAAATTAAGTTTTCACCATAGTTTTCACCAAATTAAGATTTCAAACATCATAATGTGAATTCTTGCTAAGTTCTGTCACTGGAAGATTAGGCTTTAGTCATAGCTAGTCAAGACTGCTTTGCTTCATGCTTATATGCCAATTGTTCTTTTTATTCAGTGAAAATGATTTCAGAGGCATTATTAGGAAATTGTTCTAAAAGGATTTTTTAAAATTCAGTTATTTATTACTGCTGAGATTTCATAGAAATGTACTTGTGACTGTTAATTTTAATTTTTAATATTTTTTCTATATTTATTCATTTATGTAAAGGAATATTTAACTGGTTAGTAGAAGATTAACTTGAAGAAATGGTAACACCAGAATAGGGTATATTTATTATTTGATGCTTTCTTGAGTCATGAACTTAGGACTGAGCAAATTTTGTTCCTTATTCAGCTTCTATGTCCTCCCAAATGGAAGACGCTCCAAGGCAGGGGTGGGAGTGGGGTGAAGCAGCTCTCAGAAACTGTATAAGAGAGGAGATTTGTAGGAAAGTCTTGAAAGGGCAAATTCTAAGTAAGACTGCAGACTGCAACAAGTTTTACAAAATGTTGTTACAACTTATACCTGCTTTTTTAAGACAGAAAAGTCATGCATGCATTTGAAGTGAAAGAGAACATTTCTTTTCTGAAGCGCTACTAAAAATTTCTTTGGGCAGCAATGCTTAATGTTTAGTAAAATAATAACCAAGCACAAATATAGCTACCTATATTTTAGAATATCAGAGCTATAAATAGCTGAGAAACCTTCCTTTTTCTGCCTAAGAATTTCCCTAGGGTAAGTGCTTTTCTCATAAGTAAAAAATATGCACTACACTGGCAATGAAAACCAAAGACTTGGAAGAATATTCTTCACCTCTGATGTTCCAGTTGGGTACATGGTCCACCTATGCTACTTATCAGATTGGTTAAAGGTGAGAAATAGTTTTCATTTAACTTACTTGTCATTTTTTGAGAAGTATGATCACATTGGTTAAAATATCTTCAGAGCCCTTGCATTGCCAATTGCTGGAAAGGATAGAGGAAAGCTGTTTCAATAACTATTTGTAATAGAAAGTCCTCCACTGGCGTATTTTGGGTAGATGTAAGAATTCATACACTGTGTATATTTTCACAGGTCAAGAAATGTTGATCTATATACCTCAATGCAGTTCAGATATACTAGAGTAAATGACAAAGAACGATGCTTCCCTTTCTCCTTCTCACATCTTTCTGCCTAAATAATTCCCTGGCCCCTTATAAATGGCTTCTGTAATAAGGCACAAATTCATCTCCACAGAGGGCTGCTTCTAAAATGATTGCAATGCTTACCCATTGGTTTCACTTGAGAATCTCAAGGTCATGTACACCTGGGTGGGTTTTTAAAATTATTTCACAAATTGATATTTTTGTTAAAAGTCATCTCGCTTTCCATCTCATTCTAAATCCTTCCTTAATCTACACATAACAAATAAACATAATTAGTTTCCTCGCAGAAAGTGACCGTGCAAAGGCTGTCACTGAAGTGAAGATCCAGTCTGGGGTTCAGAACGGAAGCTGAACGGATTATGGATTTTCCTTGCATATTTTTAAGGGATGATGTGATTTAACTCATGGTTAAGGTCAAAGACTGTGAAAGTGAAAGATGTTTCTCATTCAGACTGGAGACTTACAGTCTGATTCTTGGTATCATTTCTCAGGTTTAAGTTGGTCCAAATGTGGAATCAGAAGACAAACTCTGAGCTGACCTCTAATCCTGGGGACAAATGGCTTGATTTCAAATCTCAGCTTCCTTACATATAAAATAAAACTGGACCATTTGACCTCTAAAACCCAGTGACTCTGATTTTTGAATCCTCATGACAGAGGTGAGACAGGATAAGTTGGGGTTAATGCACAGGCTCTGGAGCCAGACTACTTGGTCCAGCCTCCCCCACTACTGTTAAACTGTATCATCATAGGTAGATTATTCAACAGACAGGAGTGGGGATAACAATTTCCTAACTCATAGAGTTGCTGTGAGAATAAATAGCAGATGCACAGGAAATGAGCAGAACTGTACCTGGCATCCTGTAAGTATTTCAGTCCATGTAAAACCTTCCTGGTATGGCTTTGTGATAGGTCTTCTCTCCTTTGTTATATAAAGCCATATTCTTCCTGGTTTGAAGTCTTTGTGTTTGCTGTTCTTTGCCAGGGTAACTCTTCTACCCCTTTACCTAGCAAACTCTTCTTCATCCTTCAGGACCCCTGCTTAAATATCACTTCCTCAAGGAAGCCTTCCCTGAGAACCCATATACCTTCCCAGACTGGGTTCAGTATACCTGCAACATTTATTTGGCATACTCAGCACACTTGATGTTCACTACTTGTTTAAGGTCTGTCTTCCTTGATGAGGGCAACCTCTGACTTGCTCCCCTCTGTGGAATACATCATCTCTCAAGGAGTAAACTAAACATAGGACAAAGGGGTGCTGTGAACATTGGGGTACAGGCTGCCATGGGATTAATCTAGAGAAAACCAGCAATCAGGTAGAACCTTGCTCTGAGCTTTCCTTTCCTCAGCTGTCAGAAGATACCAGTGGCTGCCTGGGAAGAGTTGTGAGGATGAAGTGCTGTGTAGCACTTACGAGGGAGGCTTGGCCATGATTTCTTGTTAAATGCTTGTTCTTCCCTTTCCCTGGGCCACATGGAAATGAAAATGTAGTGGCGCACGAGCCACAGAGGGGTCAATGAAATCTTAACCACTAATCTCAGAGGCCACCACAGTAACCGATACCCAACCTCGCCAACTGCAGAAAATAACAGACAAACCCTCCCAGGGCTCCCCACACACACCTCCCTCCCTTCCCCTGACCCAAAGTTATCAATTGCTTTCCTTTTTTTTTAATCAGAAAATGAATACTGGCATGTGGTAGGGCCTCAAGTAGTAACTAAACATTTAAGGCTAAGATAAAAGTCCCACTGTGATTTTATTTCATAGCGAATGCTAACTTGTGCTTTGGAGCTACTCACAATAAGTAAGTGAACTGCCAACTTTCTTCACAGCTTTTTAAAAGAATTTATAGCAATAGTTGGGTAAATGACTGCAATACTTCGCAATGATATAACCTTGTGTTGGTTTTTATAACCCCCAAAGTATAGAACTTAAAATATTTAAAGAAGTGTTCTTATACAATTAGTATAAGTATTAGGGGGAGTGGAAAATGCCAAAAAAAAAAAAATCACCTCCCTTCTTCCAAGAGAGTGTTTAGGAAGTTGTGCTATTTAAGCATAAGTCTTCCTACCAATATTAATAGAATTAGAAAAAGCAAGAATGGACTTGCTTGGACTTACTTTGTTAGTATGAGTTTCATACTAACAAGTTGTGCTTCACAAACTCCTTTTTCTTACCTTTAGTTTCCATATTGGCCCCAGAAATCATGATAACCATCAGACTTCCCCATTCAGGCTCAAATGGAAGGGCGCTGCTGAATCTTTTTTTTTTTTTTAACAGATGTCTGACCTACAGTTCTACAAATTGATTCTCATAAAGCTTCAAAACCTCCTACCGGGAGCATTTCTGATGTAATCCCTGGTCAGATTGATGGGAGTTGACATAAATTAAATTCTTGCATAACAGCATTGCGAGCCATTTGTAAACTCTAAATGAAAGTGGACTCTCCTGTTGCCCTGCCTGGGACAACTTCCCAGCTGAGCTTATTATTACCCCATCCTATTCATCTGTTTGTCATTTGGTTGGGTTGAACCAATTCATAAATAACAAAAAAAAGGCTGAAAGCTGGAGGTCAAATAACACATCTTAAAACAAAACAAAACAAAACTGTGACTACTTAGTGGTTTTGGACTTTCCTTTGCAATTTATTTTAGTATAGAGCAAATCCTGCATAAAACCAGTCTATAAAATTGACAGAGTCAGAGACATGAGGTTTTTTTCTCACCCCTGCCACTTATCACCCTGGATCTAGAGGATTGTGTCTATTTTCTTAGGGCAGAGTGTTTAATCTGCAGCCTGTAAATCCCCAGAGGACCATGGATAGAATCCATGGGGTCATTGGACATTTGTTGGAGAGAAGTGACATTCTTACTTTTACCAACTAAAATTTAATGTTTCTTCAGGTAGGAATATAGTCAACAAACAGAAGTGGTATGAGCAATTTCTGTGACTTTATCACCAATAGAATCACAGCTATATTGTTGTCTGACTATAATTGTTGCATATATTTCAGAATGCCAGTTATGCTGATCACTACTTTGAAATTATTATAGTTAGTAATCCATTGCTAGGGATTGTTATTTAATGTATTTATAAAGAAACACATATCTTAATATCATAATTTTTATTGTTTGATAATTGTTTTTAATATAATTGGTTTCTCTTGTGATCCTGTTACTATCCGTTTTATTCGATGTATTTGAAAATCTAATTCTAAGAAGGCATTCACAGGCTTCCTCAAGCTGTTGAAATGGCACAGAATTAAAGTCTGTTGTCTTAGACTTGGGGTTGGCAAACTTTTAAAAACAGGGTTAGATAATGAATATTTTGTGCTCTGCCAGCTATATTGTCTGTGTCTCGACTGTTTAACTCTGCCCTTGTGGCTGAAAAGCAGCCGTAGACAATATCTAAATGAATGTATGTATTGAGTATCTTCTATGTGCAGAACATGTATAAAAGATTTAAGGGTGAATCAGCTGTGACCTCTGCTTGCACTGTCCAGTAGGGAAAGCAACTGAGCACAGTCCAGAGTGCTGAGTGTTACAGGCAGGTGTGAGGAACAGGGTTCTAGAAAAACACAGACTTGACATTTGACCCAGTTTTGAAGGAGTTGGGGAAAGCTTCTTAAGGAGCTAAGAAGGACACAACCATAATAACCAAGCAAAAGGGGAGGGAGAATGCAGCATGAAAAGGCTCAGGGTAGAAGAAGCTACTAAAGTGATGGCTTAGAGGCAAGAGAAGATGTTCCTGGGATTGCCTGGAAAGTCTGGAGTGCTCTGTAGCAAGAGCTTAGCCTGGAGGGATAAGCAAGGTTCTGAACAAGAAAGACTTTATGAGGAAATCCATATTTGTCCTGAAGGGAATAAGAAACTGTGGAGTCTTAAACAGGAAAAGGAACAATACTATTTGCATTTTTGAAAGATCATGGAGACATTCCACAAAACAGAGATGAATAAACTGATAGCAATGTTTTTCAGTCAATCCGCCTGTTCTGTTCCCCACTCTGTCTTTGGTGAATCCTCTCACCCCCCACACTTCTGGCCTGTACCCCAGTTCTTGTAAGCATAAATAAATCTTAAAAACAAAAACTGATAGGCATGCTTAAAGAGCTCACGGCCTGGTGGGGAAGACAAAAATATAAAATTACATTAGAAATTGGTGTTCTCAGGGGCCTCACCTGGTGGCGTAGGTGGTTGAGTGCCGTGCTGTGAAGCTGTCTGCAGCCTCTGCAGTACTGGTTAGATCCCGGCCGGCAGGCGAGGGTCCCACATGGCACAGCAGACCTCTCCTGCCTCGCCCGCTGCTCCCCTCCCTCAGCAGTGTATTTCTTCAGTTTGCCTGTTCTGTTGCCTGCTCTGTCTCTGGTGAATCCTCTCACTCTCCCACACATCTGGCCTGTACCCCAGTTCTTGTATAAAATAAGTAAATCTTTAAAAAAAAAGAAATTGGTATCCTCAGTGTAATAGTAGAACCACAATAAGGTATGGGAGTGTTCAGAGGACATGCTAATTAATTCTGTTTCTGGGATGTTGCTTTGAAGGTATAACATGAAGGAAAATATTTAGGAAAGGAGTCTCCAAATAATCCAAGAGTCCTCCAGAAAATGTTCAGTTGTGGAATGATCAATCTGGTAGGGAGGAAAGGAGGCTTCCCATATCTCTGGCTGTACTATAATTAGGTTTTTGGTCCACACTCCCCCCCAGGCCAGCAGAGTGGCCTCCACTTTCAAGGCCATTCTGGATGCTTGGCTGTATCCCCTAGAGGACAGTTTTCTGCTCCAACAAATTCCACTTTCAAAACTATTTTCCTAGCAGGATTTAACCATTCTTAGCTCAGTTTCTTAGCTAATATGGGTAACATGCTTGAGTTTCATTTCTTACCTCAGCTCCAACTTGAGGGAGGGTTCTGAAACTATGGGTGGTTTCTCATTAGAAGGTCTTGAAATCAGTTAAGGGGGTCCTGACTAATACTTTTTCCAAAGTGAAAGAGAACAGAAAAGAAAACAGGGTATCACACACAGTAAAAGTAAGAGATATTTTGTGACATTTGTGCTTCTATTTTGTGTGTGTGTGTGTGTGCGTGTGTGCAGATGAGTGGTGTGTACTGGATCACAATGTTAAATGTAAAATTTACTGTGACTCATTCAAAAATACTGAAAACCAGTGCTCTACAGCATATTTGGAGTTTAACAGGCTTCATTTGCCACTTTATGGAATTTTAGAATTGAAAGCACCATCTGAGATTTTCTAGAAGTAAAACTTCTAGTTTAGTGCTTTTCAAATTATGGTCACAACACTTTAGAGGGTAGTAAGATCAATTTAGTAGGTTCTTACCAGCATTAAAATAAAAGGGAAAAAGAGAAAGAAAGGAAAATAGTGAAGTGAATAACATAGTAAAGGTAAATAATTTTTCTTGCAACATTTCTTTTACCTTAGTTCTCACATATTTCACTCATGAATTATATGAATCTTGACTATATTTTAGATATTAGCATCTTATCAGATATGTTTTGTAAATATTTCTTCCATTTCATGGATTGCTTTTTCATTGTGTTGATTGTTTCCTGCACTGTGCAGAAGCTTTTTACTTTAACCTGTCTTTCTTGTTTTATTTGCTTTTGTTGCCTATACTTTCAATGTCAAATCCAAAAAAAATCATTGTCAGGACCAATATCAAGTAGTTTTTCCCTTACACTTCATTAAGGTGTTTTATAGTTTGCAAGTCTGATCTATTTTGAGGTTTTTTTGTTTGCTTGTTTTTTTGGTCTGTGTGTGTGTGTGTGTGTGTGTGTGTATGGGTGTGTGTATGTGTGTGGCTAAGCTAGAAATTCAATTTAACTTTTATGCCTGTGGATATCCAGTTTCACAGCATCACTTATAGAAAAGACTACACTTTCCTCATTGTGAGTTCTTTGTGCCCCTGTTAAAGATTAGTTGACCATATATAAACACACAGACCAATGGAATCTAACTTGCTCATCTTTTTTTAAAAAAAAAATTGATTTATTTGTGCATACAAAAGCTGGGTGCAAGCCAGAGATATGGTGGGTGGGAGGATTCATCAGAGACAGAGCGGAGAGCAGAACAGGCAGATGTACTGAAATACACTGCTGAGGGGAGCAGCAGGTGAAACAGGAGAGGTCTGCTGTGCCATGTGGGTCACCTCCCTGGCCAGGGATCAACCTTGTGCTGCAGTGGCTGCGAATAGCTTCATAGTGCTGCATCTTAACCCCTTGGGTCACCAGAGAGGTCCTTAACTTGTTCATCTTTTTAAAGATTGTTTTGGCTACTCAAAGTCTTTTGTACTTTCATACAAATTATAGGGTTAGTTGTTCTATTTTTATGAAAAATGACAACTAAATTTTCATAGGGATTGCAGTTAGTATATGGGTTGTTTTGGGTAGTGTGGATATAGGAATTCTTCTCACCATGAACATAGAATATCTTTCCATTTATTTGTGTTTTCTTCAATTTATTTCATTAATGTCTTGAAGCTTTCTGTTTTAGATCTTTCACCTCAGTTAAATTTATTCTGAAATATCTTGTTTTTGATTTTTGTATTTTATTGGTTTTTTGGTATGTAAATGGGATTATTTCCTTAATTTCTTTTCTTAAGTTATTCTTAGTATATAGCAACACGACTGATTTTTGTATGTTAATTTTGTATCATTCAACTTTACTGAATTCATTTATTAGTTCTGAAAGTTTTGGGTGGAGCGTCTAAGGTTTTCTATACATGATATGTCCTCTGCAAGCAGTGACAGCTTAACTTTCTCCTTTCCAATTTGTGTCTTTTATTTTTTTTTCTTTCCTAATTGTTCTGGCTAGTACCATGTTGCATAGATGTGCTGTAAGTGGGGACCCTTTTCACCCTTGTTCCTGATCATAGGACATAGGTATGATTTCAGCTGTAGGCTTGTCATACATGGCCTTTATTATGTTGAGAAAAATTCCTTGTATATCTAATTTGTTGAGAGATTTTAACATGAAAGGAAGTACAATTTTGTAAAATGCTTTTTATCTATCTAATAAAATTATCATATGTTTTTAATCCTTCATTATGTTAACATGGTATTTATTTTTTGATTACTGATTTGCATATGTTGAAGGATTCTTGCCTCTCAGGGATAAATCCCGCTTGGTCATGGCATATGATCTTTTTACTATGCTGTTACATTTGGCTTGCTAGGATTTTGTAGAGGGCTTTTCACATCTATGTTATCAAGAATATTAGCCTGTAATTTTCTTGTAATGTCCTTATCTGGCTTTGGTATGAGGGTAATGCTGGCCTTATAAAGTAGGTTTGGAAGTGTTGCCTCCTCTTTAGTTTTTCTGGGAGAGTTTGAGAAGGATTGTTATTAATTTTTCCTTAAATGGTTTGGAAGAATTCTCCATTGAATTCATCTGGTACTGGATTTTCCTTTGTTGGGAGATTTTTGATAATTGCCTCAATCTCTTTACTCGCTCATCTGTTCAGGTTTTATATTTTCGCATGATTCATTCTTGGTAGTTTTTATGTTTAGAGGAATTTATATGTGTCTTCTAGACTCTCCAATTTGCTGTCATTCAGTTGTTGATGGTAGCCTCTCACGGTCTTTTGTATTCCTGTGGCATTAGTTGTAACATGTCCTCTTATGTATTTTTTGTGTTTAGCCCAACTATAGCCTAGACAATTTTGTTTATCTTTTCAGAAATCATTTGTAGTTTCATTGATCTTTACAATTGTCTTTTTGGTCTTTATTTCCTTGATTTCTGCCTGATTGTATTATTTCTTTTCCACATCTTTGGGCTTATTTTTTCTTCTTATTTTAGTTCCTTGAGGGGTGAAGTTAGGTTGTTTACTTGAGCTCGTTCTTTCTTTCTTAAGATAGACATTTATTCCTATAAAATTTCTTAGATGTGTTATTTTTTTATTAGGTGATAAAGTCTCTGAGAATGACATTGTGCCTATAGTTCCTTGGAAACTCAAAGGATATAGCCTCCATGGTGAATGCCCACTTGATAATCATGAATCACCTGTCAGTTGACAAGCCCAAGTCAACCACTTAGTGGGATTGATGGTGCCAAGAGAAATGATTGTCCACCAAGGTTGAGGTTGTCAATGAGGAAGTGGTCAAAATACACAGCAGAGGGACTAGAACAGAAAAATACAGCACCTGGTGGTTGTGTCACTTTGGATACATTATTTTCCTTCTATTAATTACTACATGGATAGAATGACAGACTCAACTGGATCATTGACCCTTAAAGCTTGAGGATCATAATTATTTTTGAAAAATCTGATATAAGCTAAAGGCATTTTGCTTTTGAACAATGAAGTGATTTTCGCACAGAAATCTTGCACACAATATGTGAAATTCTCCACACATTTAAACCAAATGATTTCTAGGGTACCCGATACCATTTTGGATTCTAACATTGGCAATGATTATTTATTTCCCCCCCAAAAAAATCCAGTGAATGCATCTTGGTTTCTTGAATTAGCTAGTTATCTTTTGAGTAGCAGCTGCTGATAGCATGCTATTTGCCCACCAGAACTCTTTCCCCAATCACTTTCCAAAGGGCTTCTACTGATCTGCTGAGATCCTGGATGCCCAGTATAACCCTGTTTTGTAATATTTGAAAATAGGCTTAAACCCTGCTGGTGGCTGACCATGTATATCAGATGGCAGCATATTCTTAGTCTCTTTTCCCCTCTGCTCTTTTTGTTGTGTTGGGAGAATTGCCAGGGTAATGTTGCTATGGTGACTTGATTGGCAACTCTGTGGTTAGGATAAAATAATTTTTCTTTAGTGGAAAAAGATAAAGCTATTTAATTGAGGATGATCTAAGACAGTGCTTTGGCTTAGTTATCTCTCTTTCAACTTCACCTTTACACTTTTGTACCTTAAGAGACTCTAAAACATTTAAATGCAAAACCCATGACAAAAATCAGAGGCAAAAAGTTAAAGGTTTTGAACTAGTATTCAATCTGCATGAGCTTTCCTCTCTCGTCTATATAATAAAATTAAATGTTAATGATTTCAATCTCTTCTTTGCTGAAAATACCATTTTCTTTCCTGTATTAAATACAAAATAACCACTTGTTTTGGTGGAGGGGAGAGGACTCTAATTTTTACCTGAAGTTAGGAGAGATGTTTGCAGGGATCACTGGGTAACAATGGCACATTCTGAGAGCAGTTACAGGTTATTTCCTCTCCAAATACAACAACAGAGATTCAACAAAGGGGAACAGGAGAGTTTTATCTAAAAGTCACATCTTTTCTGACTTGACTTTTAGTTGTTCCCTGTGGTTTTCCTCTGTGAAGTGATGTTGTTCTAATTTGAGTTTGTAAATGTGCTTCCTTCCACTCACTGTGGTTCTCTTTGATGACAATGCTAATTTCCTTGAGAAGCTCATCTTTAGGGAAAGGATATAAAGAAATAGAAACAAGCTCTACTTCCTTCTATTTCTCCAAATGTGAATTTTTATGAGATATGGGCCCACAAACTACTGACTAGCCCAGTAAGCTGGAGGAAGCATCTTTTACTGGACTTAAGGATTCCATTTGGCTTTCAAAATTCCTGCTAATGATAAAGTAGGTGAGCACACATTAAAGAAGTCTGAATATCATCCAGGTACCCCCTGTTAGTAAAATGAGTCCTTATTTTCTTTCATGATAAGTTGTCCATAAAAAACAGACATTAATCTTTTTTGCTTCCCGCTACCTTCTAAATATCTGTTACAAAGGTGTTTAACAAAGAGCAACTGAAAGGTGATCTGGAAGCATGATAAAACATGGAGAACAGGGCCTCCCTGGTGGTGCAGGAGGTTGAGCGCCATACTGTGAAGCTGTCCACAGCCTCTGCAGCATGGGTTCGATCCCAGCCAGCTGGCAAGAATCCCACATGTCGAAGCAGACCTCTCCTGTCTCACCCGCTGCTCCCCTCAGCGGTGTATTTCATCAGTTGGCCTGTTCTGCTCCCTGCTCTGTCTCTGGTGAATCCTCTCACCCTCCTGCGCATCTGGCCTGTACCCTGGATCTTGTATAAATAAATAAATCTTAAAAAAACATGGAGAACAGCCCCCCAATACTACCAACCCAATTTTTTATCTAATATCAAGGATCTTAATTCAACTTTCTCCCATCAACCCAAGTTGGCCTCACAACTTAGCAGCTCAAAAAAGTTAATGTTGAAGTTCAGTGCCCTAAAGTGTTTACTATTAGTACCTACTGCATAGGGTAGTTATGAGAAATAAATGAATTAAGCTATTAGGTCAATGTTTGGTACTTCACAAGCACTTGACAGACAGCTGCTATTATTAGCTTTAAACATAAAACCTCCACTGCAGTTAGGCCATTCATACTGTCCCCTAGATAAGCACAATCATGCCCAAATTTCATCCTTGATTCTTCTTACCTGGAATGCTTTTCTTTCTCCCATCACCTTTCTCCATATAAAGTAGCACTGTTCAAGAGAAATATAATGCAAGTCTACGTGAAACACTATGTTTTTCAATAGAGCATTAGAAAGGTAATAAGAAACAAGTGAAATAAATTTTAATCATATATATTTTAACCCATTGAATCAAAAATATCAACTAGAAATCATTATAAAAATTGTCATGTATTTTAAATTCATTTTGTTCTTTAAAATCTGGTGTGTGACTTATGCATATAACACATCTCAATTCAAACTAGCTGCATTTCAGGTGCCACACGAGCTGGTGGCACTGCCTTGAGGCACAAGGGCATAGAGCAAGCAGGTGGCCCTGGTTTGCCTGCTAGCTCTGTGCTGGGGGTACTCCCGAGATAATAGCTGACAGGTGCAGAGTGTTTATAGTGCACTGTGCAGAGGACTATCTAGCTCATTTAACCTTTTTGGCAGCTATCTTCGAAAAGTCCTTTTATCACCCTTGTTATACAGATGAGAAAATAGAAACTCTTTGAATGAAATTGCAGCTAGTTGGTCATAGAGACAGGATTTGCACAGCTCTGTGCTCTATCCAACTCTAGAAATCCTGCTTTTACCCTGTGTGTGCTGCCTCCCACATGGGCACTCCCAGGGAAGGCCCAGCCCCAGCTGGCTCTCAGGAGAACTGTAAAACCAGCCCTTCAGCACCATTGTACAAATTTGTTAAGAATAAGAATGGCTGTGAGCAGTATCTTCTTGGGTTTTCCCATGGTGATTCGTGTAATTAGTCACCCTATAAAACTTAAATTTGTTTATTTTGTGAGCAGATTGTGAATAGATGGAATCTGTGCTCTCCTGACCTCCTGGAATGGGGACTATCAGGGGACGGCTTGTTTATGAAACATCTGGAAGGCAGAGTCCTTGAGACTGAACTCCTATGTGAGGATCTTTTCACCATAGTCCAGACTGTGTGAGCAAAGTAGTGGATCTTTAAACAGCGCTTCATACTGGCCCTAAAAATGATCTACTTGCTTTTATTGGCAGGGACTTAAAAAATTATGACCTATGATTTAAAATCAAGATGACTTTTTGGATAGGAAATGGCAACTCATTTTAATAAGTATTGCTCCCAGTGTTCTAATGCTGTTAGTTTACATAGCCAGCAAACTTCCCTTCCCTCTGCTATTCCTGAACTATTGCTTTGTATTTTGTTTTTTGATCTGTAAAGGCCAGATTTCGACAAGAGTTGGACCTTAATCCAAGAGAATATCCAGATGGACTCCATGGTTATCAAGGGTCTCGATCCAGATACCAACTACCAGTTTGCTGTGAGGGCCATGAATCCCCATGGGCCCAGCTCCCGCAGCCGGCCCAGTGACACCATCCGTACCTCCCGTGAGTACAGTGGCCCTTCTGAAGCAGAGGGACCTGCCTTGCTGAGGTTGGAATGAGGACGCACTAGCCCAGGGCTCCATGGTGACTGCAGGGGACAGCCTGGGAGGGGCCATCCTCAGGCTTTCCGAGGGTGCTTTGGAAACTCAAGGCTCTCCACAGGGACACAGACTCGTTCTATGTCCAGGAGGTCAGCAGATTTATTTTTGCATCATCCTTAGGGAGCTTGAGGTTAGTGTTCTTTTAAATCACAAAACAGACCACATACCAAGATGACATGTGGCCTCTCCCCATACCCCCACTTTTCATCTTCTGAGAAAACAGGTTAATCTTAAAATCATGGGAGGAAAAAAAGACCCCAGATTCTTCTGAGTTAGTGTTCATCAGCAATCAAGGATCCTTAAGTAAAACCAGCACTGCTGAACCATGGTTTCAGAGAAGCTTCCAGAAGTCCCGGGCAAGCTCAGGTGTAGCTGGTGTCACAGGTTCGGTCTGCAGAGGGCCTGAGCGGAGGCTGCAGGAATACTGGCCAGTGTCTTCCTGACCTGGGGCTTTTGTGAAGAGTCATCAGATGCTGATTCTAGTCTGACTTTAGGAAGCTCCCACCTGTATAAGAACCCCATTTGGTCACTTAGACCACCTCATCACCCACTCATACATCTTAGGCTCTTGGAAAGGGAGGGGTGGGCACATAGACATCAACCTAGAACCCTATTATGTAGTGGAGAGACTTCAGATTTGAAATGTCTGTACTTTTTTTGCTTGAATTCTTGGTAGCTTTTTCAGCTTTGCCAAAAAAATTCCTCCTGAAGCACAAACTGCCCAGTCCTCCTTCTGCAGGTGAGGGGCTCTCAGGATAGACGGACGCTTTCAGCTACACATTGGCTTTCCATCAGCCAATGCCAAGACCCTTTTGCATTAGTTCTTTGAGTTTTTTAAAGATTTATTTTTATTAAGAACTGGGGTGCAGGCCAGAGGTGTGGGGTGGGTGAGAGGATTCACCAGAGACAGAGTGGGGAGCAGAACAGGTGGATCTACTGAAATGCATTGCTAAGAGGAGCAACGGAGAGACGGGAGAGGTCTGCTGTGTCATATGGGTCAGCTCCATGACTGGGGATGGAACTCAGGCCACAGCAGTGATAGCACTGAGACTTAACCCCTAGGCCACCAGTGAGGCCCCTCCTTGATCTGATTATAGTCCTCCCCTGTCTGCACACAAAACCCACAATGTAACACCCTGGGTCTCCATTGTTTCCTGGGTTAAAGATTCACCAACTTCCCCAAGTCCTAAGAATTTTGGCTCTTCTAAAAACCCTTATTCTAACCTTGAATGTTTGGGCTCTTTCCTTTGATTGAATTGTCAGGAGATAAAGGGATAAGGTGAGGATATCCATACACAAACACACACACACACACCCCCTACAATATCTATAAACATCCAGCAACTGCTTCCATCTTCTTTTTCACAATTTAGAAACTAAAATTTCCCAGGCATGTGGCAGGAATAAAGCTCCTTTCTAGAAGGAATGTTAACAATTCTACATCAAAGGGGGGCCTTTTGCTGGCTTGAGATTCTTGCTATCATCTTTGATGATACCGTGATGCATGGCCAAAACTGGAGTAACAGAATCTGGGGCAGGCCTTGGGATCTGACTGTATTTTGAAAAAATTAGTTTGTCCTTTTGGTATTGCAAACAAGGCAAGTCTTCTGGGCTGTGTGCTGCTATCGTTTGAGCTGCTAGGGTATCTCTTTCCTTCCGCCTTCAACATCTTCTCCTCAGAGATAAGGAAGTAAAAGTAGGTTGAGCTATAACAAGTTGGCCCTGGATGTGGGTGTGTGTGGGGAACAGTCAGGGGAGAGGGCATGGCTGAGAGCACCTTTTGAACTTTTTCTTTTTAAATTGAAACATTGGTCTGGTCTTGGAGTATCTGAAAATTGTTTCCTCATTAATTGGTGGACCCCAGCATTGTAGGTAAAGTGGATAAAGTCTGTGAAAGAGCTTTACTATTGATTGATCTTCTATGCAAAGTAAAATTTTCATTTCAAAGTAATTATGTGTAGGATGGCTGATTCAGTGAAAATGCCCAATTACGAAATAGTCTTAAATAAATGTAGTTTGATTCCTTCCCATACATAGGATCAAGCTCACATCAGTATAACAGAAATAGAATTTACTAGATGGCCCGTTTCATGAGCACATAAGAAACTGCTGTGATTGGCGTTTCAGCTGCGTCTTTCCCAAGATCACGTCTAATGTTCCAGAAAACCTGTATTTGCATATTCACATGTCTTATTTTGTCATTAGTTGAGACTGTTATTTGCTTCTAAATAATAGTCCATTTTTCCATTATCTAAAATTGCCTAATTACCAAAGAGCACTATTCTGAATTATAATAAATCCTAAATAACAAGGCTATCATTGTAGAAACCTCCTCTAAGCGAGGCACCATGCTAAGCACCACCTTTGAAATCCATACATGTGCTCACAAAAACTCTGTGCTGGAGAAATTGATTTTAAAAGAATCAAGTTTTTGAAAGGTTACATGTTATAACAAGAAAAATAATGATAAAGACAGGATATGATGAACTCAGGTTTGGCTGATTGCAAAGCTACTTTCCTGAGTGAGACTCAAGAATAAAGAATGTTCTTGTTCTTCTGATGCAAAAGAGCATGAGAATGGTAAGGCCTGCAAGGAAATAAAGGCCATGTCGAATCTCTGGACTGAGGAATTTCTGTCAGCACAGATGAGCCCTATATATCTATCTACATATATATATATATGTATATATATATACATATATATACATATATATATGTATGTATGTATATATGTATATATGTTTATTTTTTCCTTACAAAATTTGTAAGATACACTGTACATACAGTAATGTGGGTACAATATACTCCCAGGGGGCCTCCCCGGTGGCGCAGCGGTTGAGCGCTGGGTTGCGAAGCTGCCCGCAGCCTCTGCAGCGCTGGTTCCATCCCCGGCTGCTCCCCGGCCACTGGAGGAGGGTCCCACATGGCGCGCAGACCTCTCCTGCCGCCCGCTGCTCCCCTCAGCAGTGTACCTCGGTCCTTCTGCCTGCTCTGCTCCCCGCTCTGGCTCTGGTGAATTCTCTCACCCTCCTGCGCTTCTGACTGTACCCAGTGCTTGTATAAATAAATAAATACATCTTAAAAAAAAAAACCATATATATATATATATATACACTCCCAGGACTGAAATTTGACTGCTGTGCATTGGGATAACCTGGTAGTTGACAGCCCGTAGCCCTTCTGACTGGATAGAAAAAAGCCAAGCCAATGGTTTAATAGTTGGAAAGAATTTGTGAGACCAGTGTTTCTTTCAGGCTGCGCCATTTTTTTTGTTCCCACTGTCCCACCTCAAGGTCCTTCCTCCAAGCCTGTTTTCTTGGTTCTGTGCCCACTTCCTCCTTATACAGCAAACTTCAGAATGGAATGTTCAAATTGACTGCTGAGATGCAGGTGTCTGCAGGGAACCATTAGATTCCCCTTCACCCCCTGACACCAGCACCCACTGACTTCTCTGTTGTCTGTTTATCTTAGGCCCACACCTACCTCCTTTCCTAAGGAAGGATAATACATCAGCTTCACTAACTAATAAAGCGTGAGCTTCCCGCTGGATCTATTAATGCCAGACCGTATTAGCAGTTTAATTGTTTAATGGGGACAATTGGTAGATCTCAGTGGCTCTTGAGCCTGTGGTTAATGAAAGCCAGACCCTACTGTTTTCCTCAATTGGCACTCGGCCTGTGAGGAAAAGCAGGGTTGTGGTGTCTTCATTGGAGTGTGGAGAGGATTATTCACGTCTTACCTCAGCTCCACAAAGTTACAAGTAAAATGGGAAGAAAACACTAAAACCTTTACATGTCCAGGGCCTCTAGGGAGAAATAGGATCATTTCAGTGACGTTGAATAATAATGCTGTTATAGGGCAGCCCCGATATTGAACAGGTTCCTGGCTGTGGGTCCTCACCCGAGCGCTTTAAAGGGACTTATTAATACTCTACTACAGACACACACAAAAGGTTAATAAAAGGTTTATTTACAAGAGAAAAGGAAATAAGGAAAATGTACAACTCAGGGAGAAAATAGGGAAATAAAGTCTTTCATGCGTCCTACCCGATCCGCCGAACTGGAAACCCAAAGTCACTCTCAGAGCTGGCCGGACGCTGCAAGCTGGCGGAGAGCCAAAATGGGGGACCCCCAAAGCCCACGTGTCTGCCTTTTATATCCACCTGGCTGCTTAACCCCACCCTCAGGTCCCAGCCACCTTCCCTTTGGTGGTGATGGGATTTGGAGTTTCCAGTGTCTTTGGCTTTGGCCTGGGGTGGAGGTGGAGTCCACAAAGCCTGTATGGAATTAGCTTTAGGACATCCTGTTCCCCCTAACAATGCCACCTGATATTTATTTGAGCAATATGTGAGGAAAGTCAAGTGGTATTATTCTGTTCCTGCAAGAAACAGAGACAAAGATCATGGCCTCTCAGTCCTTATCCCATCCTGCTCTATTTTTTTCCTTCAAGAAAGAAATATCAACTTTATAGTCTGCCTTATTATTCTATGGCATTCTTTCTTACCTGAAATTGACCTTACAGATTAGCCAATGCGAACAGGGTTCTCTGTGGAGCCTCCAGAACAGAGTAAAAACAGGAGACCTTGTTGGGGATGTGTTCGTGTCCTCACTGGGATCCAGCTTAGCTTAATCAAGAAGGATGGACCAAGTAAGAAGGCCATGAACTGTACCTAACAGAAATGGCAGACATAAAAGTCATGTGTTTTCTCTTTCCCCAAGACAAATGAGATGAAATGAAAAATAACTGTGTGGCCAACTCCAGGATTGTATAACCACACCCCGGGGGTGAAATATGTTCCTATGCCCAAAAGGTTTAATTTCTCCTGTTCTGTCCTTATGATACAGCAGAGAAAGAGCCACTAAGTTCTTCGCTGAAGTGAAGTCGGTTTCCTCGGGGCAGTCC